TTTTTCTCACTTTTCAAGATACGTGTTGTCAGTAAGCAATTCAAACACTCCATCGTCTCTATCAAAGGTAAGCAATACCATTATTATCGTTGGAAATTGAATGACAAAAATACCCTTATCTCATTTTCATATTTCCACAAATGTCCTTACACTGATAATAACTGTGGAGTTCAACATTGGCAAAAAGGAGGGCGAGGGGGAGGGGGGCAATATTGACATTTGTGCTTAAATGGAAATGATTAAAAAATTGAGAATGAATGTACATCCTGCAGAAACGAGTACAAATTTAATAAGAATGTGTCAGTGGGTCCTGCTAGCCCACACTTTTTGACCATGGAAAATGAAATTTAATGAAAATAAATGGCGCCCAAACAGGGGCTAAATGTATACAAAATTTAAATTACCCTATAATCGATTTATGTTTTGCAAAAGATGCACAAAGTAGAACGACCTATTAAATAACGGTGCTCTCCATGATGAAGATTAATTAAATACACAGAGTATGGAAGTTATGTCAAAACATCTTACACAGGCGTAATACGACTGGCATGAATCTTCTCCGTTGCAGCTGAACAATAAAAATGGCTGCAGAAGGACCTGGCTGGTGTTAACAAAGAAGTTACTCCGTTGTTGGTAGCTACATGGCATCCACTCTGGTACAGCAGTTACACGGCGCACTATAGAGAAGCCGAATGTATGATGGTAGCGACGGAAGATCTAAATGTGCCATATATTATAAATTATTTCTTCTCGCATTGAGGCAAAGTTGCAAAAATGTGCAGGTCCATGACTACGAGAGGTCGAACAGAGTTTATAACTATAACCTGAATCTTTGTGTTCTCGCCTATTAACAGTTGGAGATGACGGGAATAGAAAGAAGATGTCGATTACGCATGTTGATGAACCAGGTAAATGTCCCGAACCATCCATCACGCTAGATTATTTTATAGGTGGATTTTGTGCGTGCAATTTTACATCGGGTCCAGAAGCTGCTAAGTTTTATTGGGATCAACAACCTGAATAGATGGGACCTACTTTCTCTATCTCCCTTGTTCTCGATTAAGCTCTAATTCCTATTCTATAGAGATATAATAAACAGAAAAAAATAAATCATGAATGAGTGAGTACAGATTAGTGGTTCGTAGTTGTCAATCCGCGGTTGAGAGGTACAGTATGATTAGGTTTCAAACAGCCAACACGTCGCTCTTCATTGGTTTAAGTATGAGCTTAGATGCCACATGAACATACGAATCGGTAAAAATTTTGTCACACTAACATAATATCAACATATAATTTTCTTAGAATTACGTATTTATTTGCACATTTCGCAATATTCAGCTCCTATACAGTTATTATAATTTCATATTGTTGGGGTTGTTATGGCTTCTTTATACTCTGAAATTAATACAGAATTAATAGGAGCATCTTGCACCAACAAAATTGGTTTGAAGAAGAAAACAGATATGGGAAAAACCAGCATAACATATTTGAGAAACAGAAGCAATAAACCAGCAGAAGGAAGAACCGAAGAACATATTTTGGAACAGGAAGAATGTCTTCCTCAACCTTGATTTATCCACGAGACTTTACATGATTTACACTCTGAAATCATCACAAAGCATTTCTACAGATTTACAAGAGTTCAC